TCAGGACAGCTCCAAAATCTCGTTTTTGCAGTAGTCGATCAACTACTATAAACAAGCTGACACAATCAGCGACACAGTCTTCCCACTATCAGGCTATAACGGTGTAGAAAGCTTCACTGCAAAGCACCAGAGTACAGCTCCCGACTCTGCTCGGTCGTTCTCGGAACTCCACGTACTCACGAGACTCTCCACGCTACAACTCGCGATGAACTCGACGACACACAGAGCACGGCTCCCGACTCTTGGTTTCAGTCGTTCCCGGAGCTCAACACGCTCTCTCGACGATGCACTAACCGCGATACATTAAGAGACTCCTTCGGTGAACTCGACGACCCACTCGGCACTCGCTGCCCGGCTGTCAACTCGATCGACTCCGCAGGGATTGACTCGCTAGACGGAGACACCAACTCGATACTAACTATCTCGCACTCTCGAGGCACACTCTCTGACTGCGGACCAGCAGGGTTTATATAGCTTTCGGCTTGTGTTCGAGAACATTCTGGGCTAAACCGATAAGAATTCGTTCCAGAAGAGTCTTCGTCCGTCCATGGCATATCGCCAATCTTGTCGCCAAACCTCGCCAAATGGGAGTTTTCTCGCCAAATGTAGCAACTCTGCGTTCCCTTACCATTATGGCAACCTTAAAACTTCTTTGCGGGACAGCTATCTCACCGCGCCTGTACATTTCGTAACAATATGTAATACTCCCTTATAAAATATATAACTTCTTGATATAATTTTAATTCTTATGTATTTTAGTTCTGATATACAGGGGAAATAATACAAGAATATTAAAATATTATATCCTAATTTTGTTAAAACAATTAATAATATTAAGTAATTATGCATATTTAATTATTTATCACACTTCAGCGCTGATTGCGTTTTAAACAACAACATATAAGTACATATAAATACCGAAATATTTTCTTCGGAGCCCCTGACATTTTACCGTCAGGGTCCCCCAGCTATCTTAGCCCACCCTTGCCACGGCCGGTAATCTTTAAAACAACTGAGAAAAAAAATTGCTGCAGATGAATTCTTTCCTTCCGGGTGACCGGCCTGTTTCTGGAACAGGTCGAAACAAATCTATTTATGAACAAGTGGGGGAGAATATATGATTTTCCCAGAGGCTTCTCGAGGGAAAAAAAAAAAAAAAAAAAAAAAAAAAACCCACATCCTCCGAAATGACCCTGATAGTCTGCAGCTTGCTCAACATCGTACTGTTAACATCTTGCTCAAGAAAGCCCGCTAAAACCCACCTGCTTTAAATGAGCATTTGGCTGTTTTCTCCATTACCGATTGACGATATTATTTCGCAAAATTTTCGAGTTCCTTTTTTTCCGGTGTCCTCCTTTCCATTCCTTGCTTTCCGGGATCTTCTTTCTGTTTCCTTTTTTCCTGCGCACCGAGTTTTTTATAGGAATACATAATTTTTTCGAAATATTTCTAAAGTGAACAACGGAAAAATGCATTTCGTCGATAGCCGCTGTTTCCGAGTATTGCGCGATGCTAAGTCTCTGCAGTTCTGTGATTTTTTTAAAGTGAAAACAGATCGCTCTATATTCGGGGAAGAAGAATGGGATAAATAAATTGTAAAAAGATTTCAAGGAAAATGCAAATGTTTTATTTTTCTTAAGGCATTACGCATTTAATTAATGATTGAAATTTTTATTTTAAATTGTTAAAGTATTTTTTCCTTTTCTTATATTCACAATAGTTGTCGGCTTACGTTAATATGGATAGTTTTGGAATCTTTTTAAAAAAAGATTCTCAAAACACCTACTTGCATCCGATGAGTAACTTTTACTTTTCTTCTGTAAAAAATCTATATTGCGCCTAGGTGGTTATGTTAAGAATAGGGAGACGGGAAAGTAATGTCGCTTTCTTACATTAAATTCACACGAATAAATTTTAACACGTTTTTATTTTTAATCAATAATGTAATCACCCTCGTTATCAACAACCTTTTGCCATCTGAGCAGATTTTCAATCCCGAAATAAATCAATTGGTTTTTGAGTAAAATATCTCAAGATGGCATTTTGGACATCATTCAAATTTTCAAATTTTTAGGCACTAAGAAAATGTTGTAGGGATCGGAATAAATGGAAATCCGAGTGTACGATATCGGGCGGAGTATGGTGGGTGATGCAGCACCTCCCATCCCAATTCATTCATTTTTTCCAGTGTTCGTCTTGCACAGTGCGGTCTTGCATTGTCGTGTTGCAGAATGACGCTTTTTCCGTTGACAATCGCCGGATATTTTTCGATTAAAGATTGGTTCACTCGATCCACTTGTTCACAATAAAGGTGTACATTAACAGTTTTTCTAGGTTTCAACCATTCAAAATGAACAATTCGGCGAATACTCCACCAAACACCCAGAAGCGCCTTTTCGGGATGTAAACCCTTTGTAACCCCTATTAAAACTGCCTTTTGAGTTTGGATTATCGTATAGGACTTATTTTTTTGTCTCCACTAATCAAATGATCAAAAAACGGTTCTGTATGGTGCCGCTGAAGCAATACGTTGCATGTGATGCATAGGTTGGCTTTGTTCTTTTCGGACAGATTATGGGGGACTCAGATACCTGCTTTGCTTATTTTTCCATTCTGCTTTAAATGTTCTTGGATGGTCGACCAAGGTTGGTTAAGAGTGTTTGACATGGATTTGTTTCCATTTCTGCCCTTAGCATGTTGTTGTCGACATGCGCAGAAACGACATTACTTTCCGGTTATTACGTGAGTACTCAAATCCTTTCAACTAGAACCTGCGGCCCAGCGCTGAATAATGGTAATTCAGGTCCGGCGTTCGAATCCTGTCGAATGGGCTGAGTGCATGGGGACTTTTTTGATTTTGCCCATGTGTAGCGTGCATACGAACCAGTTTCCCATAGGAAGTCCTCCATGAAGCCTCCCCCCCCCATCCCCAGGGAGATAGCCCGAGAGTGCTTTGCCGTAATCAAATAAACCAAACCAAAATCAACTCTTTCAACTGACACTGATAGATTTAGCAGCGAAATTAGACGGATAGCCAATCTCATTTAATAAACTCGGACATTTTTTAATCCCGAAAACAGCTCCACACTTGATTAAAAATCCTGGTATGTTCGAGCTGATCTCTTATGTTGGATGACCCTATTTAATACAGCCCGCTTGCGTATTTATTATGTCCTATAAGCTCATATATGTATATATATTTAAACATGATGGTTTTAGTAAAATGTAGAATAATGATTTAAAATTTTAACGAACAAATAATTTTTGACTTGTTGAAATAACAGGTTGAAATGGCTCGCTGTTTACAGTCTGTTCTGATTACTCAGTCTTTTCGCATGTTGGTTGCAATCACGTTATTATAAACTCCCCTATATCTCATATTACAAACTTAAACACGGCAAATTTGAAGAAATGCATTCCTGATTTTTTGTTAACATGAAATGAATTTTAAGATTTTCAAAGAAAACACTATTTGCAGTAGGACTGTGGTTCATAATTGCTAGACGTTCATTCCTACCTTCCTTTCCAAAACTCAAAAAATACATATACATTTATTTAAATTTAGATTATTTTTAACGTGTTTTATAAATTAAGCAAAAAAGATATAGAAAATATTGATAAATGCCAAAACTTGAATAAAAGTTGTTTTTTATATTCAAAAACTAAATACTGCCATCCAGACGGTTAATTAAGTTACGGTTAAGACATCCAGTGGTTAGGAAAGCTTACTGTGGTACCGATGGGTTCGGGTTCGAATCCCGGAGAAGGTTGTATGTTTGTAAATGTATAGTGTTTTTAAGGCATGGTTTTCACTCTAAATGTAACCATTCTTCCATGAAATGCAGGACAAGGCAACAAGAAAATTATATACTTAACAGGTAAACAAAAGGCCGACCACATTCCCTCCCTAAAATTATGCCCCCCCGACTGAGAACTCCTGAAGTAAGATGAATGCTTTTATGCCAAGGCTTCCTAGGGGAAGCTAACTGGGCATTTCTTTTATACTTGAGGAGATCTTATCTGTGCAGCCCGAAATCGAGACAAACTATCATGCTCAACAATCTTACGTGAACAATTTGACTGCTAAGAAAATTTTTCTTTTCTTCTTTCCCCCCTCCTGTTCTTTCTTTTTTGCATTTTCGTCTTCCCCCTTTTTTCTTTCTTCCCTTTTTTTTTTTTTCCTTCACTACTTTTTTTTTTTAGACATTATATTTGTGCAATAATTTAAAGTTTTCATAACGTTTTAAATGCCAACTGTTTTTTTCCTCTATGTAACGTAAATGTGAGCCAGCTTTCCTTAGAATGTCTTAAACAAAAGCAGCATTTCTTCTACAGAAGGTAACTCTTGAGAGCTTTTCAGCAATGAATAACCTAACTTAACCTATCTAAAGAAAGATTCTGATATGAAACCGAGATTTGGATACATGCCGCATAATCACTTGGTCTCTCTGTGATACGGAGTCTGTTTCTTGATTTATAATTCTGCCTGCTATGTAGTATGGATTATGCCATGGGTAAATTCCCATTTAGATCTAAATTCCTAAACTCGAGTTATTTGCGTTTCATTAGTTTAAGAGGGACGGGAATAGCAGGAAATTGAGGAAATATTTTATTTTAGCAATATTTAAAAATTGAAATTTAGTAATTACACTAATAGTTCTAGATTTGGTCTTAACTGAGTGATTCTCTTTATGGTGCATTAAAAACAGTATTATGAATGATATTTAAAAATTTCATTTTAGAAGTGCAACATATCTGAAATCATTTTCAAGTTTAAAATAAGTGCGTAATAATAGTTTTCTAGTGTTGTTTTGAAAGAGCGATTTCAAATAGCTTTTGTTAATAATTCCCAGCGAAATAAACTTGTTGGTCATTCAGATTTAGCTTTCAAGTTAAATTGACATATATTAACGTTGTTGTGTTAACAGAAATAAGTTTCACACAATTTTTTAAAAAATTTTTATATAAAGATTTAAACTTAATTTTTTTTCTTTTTCTTTTTCTTTTTTTTTTTTAAAGGAAACCTTAGATTGGCGAAGATTTTGAATAAAATTCTATCGATAGAAAGTTTTTATACTGAAATAGTTGATTTTCCAATTTGATTTATAAAGAATTCCTGCTTATCAGTGCAAACTTAATTTTTCACTGCAAACAAAAGTCAGATGTAACTGCCCTTTCTTAATAATCATAATAATATTTTAATAAACTTCATATGATACAGGGTTTGTAACATTCCGGCTGCTAACAGTTATTTATTGATACTTCAAGTCAATTTTACGTTTTTGAATTTTTATCCTGTAAAGTCTTATGATAATTACAGAAATTACAAAGCTTTTTATACAATGGGTATAAGATGAGAAGACATTCCAAATTTTTAGTCCTTCACTTTAATTAGTATACAGCGTTTTAATAAACTTCCGAATGAATGCACTAGATGGCGATACTGTTCAGTAACCTAGAAATGACTGTTAATGACGTCAGAAATAAGATGTCAGCGAGAGCGTTCTACGTTTAAGCGGGAGAAAACTGTAATGCTTTGAGGAATTAACATAACAAGTTCTAATCCTTGATAAACCACGTGCTTTTCTTGTGTTCGCTCCATAGGAAGCCGGACTGCTCTTGTATGAAAAACATATGGTTGATAAAATGTACTACTAGCCATTATCAGGATATGTTGACCGCAGCGACTAGTCACTTCGGAAGTTGTATCATTTGTATTCACAGTATAAAACACGAATGAGTTCATTCGTCGATATCCCTGCCCAAGGGAGATTTGAACTGTTTCACAGAAGCAGAGGAGAAGACAGTCCGATGAATATTGCTGTTCATTTAATTATGCTCAATGGTAAGACAGCATTATTTATATTGTTATGACTACCATAAATTTAATTAATCTTTCAAAGGAAGTGCATATCACTACATGCAGACTGTATTTGTTGTTTTTAAAGAAACCTAATATCATGAAGAATATATGACTTAAATGCTAAACGGAATTTTACGAGTCTGGTTTTAAGCGCGGTTATCGATTCTGGCATTTCCGACCGAGGAAACCGATATCAGAAATCTGACAGGAAAAAGGATATCGAACAGCGATGTATGCAGGTTTTGGCTCAACTTCTAATACAACAACACAGGATAATGATAATTCGTTAGATATACCGGCTTGGAAAAAACAACTCATCATGAAAAAACGTGCTGGTAACGTCTCAGTTGTAGAGGAGAATTCCCGTCGTAACCTAGATTCATCCGCTAGTGGTGTAAACATAACTAGGAACGGTGATAGTAGTAACACGTGCGGTAATTGCCCTTTGGGCGGCGGTAATAACAAGTTTTCTCGGCTAGCGAAAGCTCGTGAGCCAGATTTACGCGAGATTTCCCCTCCGAAAACTGTGACAATTGGAAACATAAATGTTGAATTAAGAAGTGTGAAACCACCTTCTGATAACCACGATTCATACGATGCATTAAAATCAGATCGAAATTCGAATTTTGAAACGGGACAGGAATCAGATGACGATGGATATGAAGATCTGCAGTATGGCCCAGGTATCGTTGATCGATTACGTGCTAGATTTCTTAATATGGGAGCCAAAACACAGCATAAACCTGTAGTCAGGCGGTTTTCCAGTTTGGAAAATCTGCCCGGTAGTAATAGTGGACCGTATAGAGTTAATGCTCGTTCCGTCCGGCATAATGGATTTAAATTTGGTAGTGGCCCTCCATACAATATTTCTGGAAATGTGAAAAAAGCTCAAAGTATGGAAACATTATTATGCAACACATCCGAACATCATATATTTGCCTTTAATAAAAGGTCTAATGCCCGTTATATCGGTGGTGTAAAAGCTCGAATTTTCTCGAAAAATATATCTCCTATATCTATTGTTACTGATGAAAGTGATACATCTAAAGAAAAAACACCTTCTCCTTCAGCGTCTCCGAGGCAATTCAATAAATGTGTACGAAGGTGGGATTACAGTAGAAGTGCTTCAGCGCCAAATATTAATGAAGACGAACTACCGAAGCCCGATACGGTGAAGCACGTGAAAAAAATTTTCGAATCGCCTCCCGTAGTTAGTAGTTCTGAGAAGACATCATGCCTGTCAAGCGGTACACGTTTCCGCAAAATTCCTAGTACGATCACAACACCTACCTCAGTTTCAAATGACGGTGCCATATTGGGAAGGATAGCGGTCAAGAAACCCGACGTCGGAGAGGGCAGCCTCGATGCCAAATCAAGTGCCAAAGAATTTCCAGATCTCGTTGTAAACAATCTGCTTAGGAAAGAGGAGGTTTTATCATCTGCCGAGAGAGAGGAGAAATGTGATGACGGCGAGATAAATGAAGGAGATTATAGCTCAGTATTGGACAACGATTTATCAGCTAATAGGTCATGTGACACTTCTCCTGTTTCGCAAGAAAATGTAGTGTTATCTACTGATGCTCACGACCCATTCGTAAACAATCCAGGAAGAGGGGACTTACCCGATAATCAGCGAGAGAATAACACAATTTCTGAATTAACTCGATCTTCCATCAAGGTCACACCCGAACAGTTACCTCTGGCGGAGGAATTTAAACATACCGAGCTATTGTCTCAAGGTAGGCAAGTCAGTCAAGTCAGCGAAGCGGAAAAAGTCGAAGACGATCTGTTGCCCCACCCGCAAGCAGGTGACTGTAGCACCGCAGACGACGGGATGGTCGTGGCGGCGGCTGTATCTGGCGGGGAGTCAGCCTCAGATTCCTGTCCTGCGCCTAAGAAAGGAAGCACCTGGCAGAAAGCCCCTGCATCCTCCACCTCCATCGTGTTTGATTTCCGGGGTAAAGATGTGAAACCCAACATTTCTTTAAACCCGACACCATTTGGCTGCAGGCCGGCCAAAGTGTCAAGGAATTCTAACTGCCTTAAGAAAAGATCCAACTCTCCCCCGCGGGCCGGCATCAACGGAGTGCCATCTAAAGAATATATTGTCGACCAGGAGGATTGCAAGAAAGATGATGAGGATGAAGAAGACTGGGATGAATTAGATGTTGGGGCTGATTTGCCTCGTTTTTCCGGAATAGTTTTCACAGGTGAAAACATTAAAGTAGGCAGAGGCGCCCTTCTAGAAACAAGAAATAAAAAGGTAAGATTCCATTTTTTATTCTATTTTCAGCTGTTCTAAATTTTCTTTTTTTTGGGGGGGGGAAGGGCTGGGGTTAATTGCTAATTCGAGAAATGTTGCTTAAAAAGAAAAATGCACTTACTTTTTGACCTTTTAAATATATTAGAAAGACAAGCAAAGTATTCTGCATGACGCTGTGGCATAAACTTTGTGTATGGGTTTTTCTGATTTACGTTTAAAAAATTTTTAAATTTAGTGTGAATGAATAATATATTTAATTTTTAACATAAACATAAAAAAAAAAAAATATTACATTGTAATTCTAACTGCTTATATAATTTTTTTGGACTTTAAAATCCTTTTAAATATTAAAATTTTTATTAGAACTTTTTTTAAAGTTGTGTTTTACTAATCTTATATATAATTGGAAGTAATTGTGTATGTGTCTGACACTTTAGGGCAAGATTACAGTCTATGTTTTGAAATGTGTTTTAATTGAATATTTTTGTTATTATATAGAAATGTATAAATTAAAATTTAATTTCATTAAAAGATTTAGTTTAGGAAGTTTTATTTGTGAGCTAGTGGTAAACTACCTATAATCCAATAAGATGTGAATGAAATGAGTTTTGGTTCTTATGTGTGTTTAAAATGGAATATGTACAGCTATAATACTTTTGTAGAAGTAATGATTCTGCTTGTTTTTATGTCTTTCAAAAATTATTTAATTTAATGCAAGTACTATGAAGTCAATCAAATTGTACCACCATATATACCATAAAATGGATTGAAAGGAAATTTATGAAACTTTTTTAATAAATGGGCATATAATATATGCTGTAGAAGTGTGTATATATATATATACACATATTAATTTAATTCTGCTTATGTAATCTAAAGGGAAGCATAATAGTTTCTCCTCATCCAGTGAGATTTGATGATTAATTAGAAAGAGTGGATATAGGAATAATAGCAGTGATGGTGTGAAAAACTTGCTAATAGAAAGCAGTATAATTTGTTCCATCCAGTGAATAAAATATGTATTCTTTTTATTAGCATGTTTAGACATTATTACTGCTGTTGTTTTTTGTGCATTTTGTGGATTGACAATTGGCTTTAGGTGAGGGAAACTTTCATTATTACAAAAAAGTTATTGAGAAAAACTAATTACAAGCAGAAGTATTTCTTCTATAAAACCATTACAGCTATACACACATGCACCATGTTAAATACATGCAAGAACTCGTGCTCATTTCACTAACATTTTATTTTTTTAAAATTTCTTTATTACCATCAGTCTTTGTAGCTTTCATTTCTATATCTGTATGTCTTCTGTCTAAACATACAGTGAAACATCTCTTAAAAGACAACCATTTATAGTTTCAAACAGTTTCAGTTTTCTGTGGAAGTGGTTGCCTTAGAGAGAGGAAAATCAGTGTCTGTATTTTTTATTTTCTCAGAAGTACTGGTAGTTGGCTGTCAAGATAGTTCATTGCACATATGAGTATGCACACAGAGAGAGTAGTAGAAAATTTCGCTGATTTTGAAAGATTGAGAAACATGCTCAAAATAAAGAAATAAAGTTGCAACAAAAATGTAAATATGACATTACTAAACTATCCTACAAGAGCATAATATCTATTTAAAATTGAACTGAAAGTGATGGGAAACTCATTTAAAAATGAGTAAGACTTGTGCAGTTGTAAAAATGAAATAAGTTTATTCAGTAAAATTTGATGAGGTGTTCGTTTGTGCCTGGAAAGTATTTTTGTAAATGTTTAAGAGCATATAAAAATGCTTAAAATGTCTTCTCGATATGTTAAATATAACAAGAAGATATGCATTGTGTTTTTGCCTTGCAGAAAAGAGTAAATCACAAATAAAATTCTAAGATAAGAATAATATACGATCTTGGTAATGAGTAAAACATTCTGTTCATCTACTCAGTAGATCTGAATTTGCAGGTGTGGAGAACTATTTTATATTTAAAAATTAAGGAGCAAAATTTACTTTATATGTATTTATTGAAATGTTAAAAATTGTGTTTTATTAACATATGTTAGAAATGAAGTACAGAGTAAGTGGTGGTAAATTTGAGGGAGTAAAATAAGTAAATGTGCTGAATTTTTGTAAAGTATGTACATTCTTATGCTTTATTGAACAAGTTTAATAGATGCAGTATATAGTTATAAAAAGCTAGAATTTTCTCCGTGATATTAGTAAAAAATATATGAATTTGAAAGTCGTATTGCATTTTGGGGCATATTTTCTATCAATACAGCAGTATATCCGAGTAATATTTTTTTTACCAAGTCTTGGTAGTTCCCTTTTAAATGCCTGAAGTGAACTTTTTTGTGCATTTCATCAGGCTTTAATTAAAAATAAGGGAGGGCATGAAGTGTGTTGAGAAAGAATACTTTTATATGTATGTGCATGTGTACAATAAATGGTTACCGTGTATGGAAAATACATGCAATTAAATAATACCTGTTTATATCTTGATATAGTATTTTTACATAATGATTTCTGACTAGTTGAGAAATATGTAGTTTAGAGATTTCTAATCAGGCCTGGTCTATAGCTAGAGATCTCTTAGTACTCATTTTTTTGTTTTGTTTTGTTTTTGTTTATCTGATATAGAACAAGAATTACAAGAAATTATAGAATGGCTTTGGGATTTCCTTAAAATAAGAACCCTAGACCTGAGCTTTGCTAATCTATGTGATAATTAGGATTTACTAACCATAATTTCAGTACTGTAATTTTTAAGTTTCTCATGTTATAATTCGAGATTTGATATTTATAGATTTTTTAAAAATTTCATTATTACTTTAAATAATATTGGTAGTTTCTTTTCATTACAAAGTCTCACTAATTTTATTATACGGCAGCATGTAAGCTTATTATATTTACGTAGGGTTAATCTAGAATCTTGTGTAAGTATACTATCTTTTCTTGTAAATGTTTGCTTACAATCTGTAATGTTTATAACTGAAGTATACAGAGTAGGGCACAACTGTATTTCTAACTTTAGTTTTGAATGAAAAGCTATAATTTCTGTCATATATATATATAAAAAAGCAATGTATTATGGGCAGTAGTGAATTAAAATTGATTTTATAGTAACATAAAATTATGCCAGTAGTGTTGTAAATATTTGAATAAACTTTTATGTTTTTAATTGAAGTATATGTGGATACGTTAAGACATGGCTATGTTTTAATTTAGTGTCCATTCTTAAAAACGGGGAGGAAGAAAGTGCTTTATATATATGCAGTTTGATGTTTTTATTCTTAGTATAAAGGTCAGAATATTGTTGAATTCTTTATTTATGTCAGGAAGTCATTCTTCCCATATACAAATGCAAGCTTATAATAGAAGGTAGTAGGCAAATGATGCAATTACATGTACACAATATATTTTTTGCAAGAACTATGTGTAGTTGATTTCACTTTTTTATAGCTGTTTTTCAGAGGTTTGCAGATGTTGCTTGTGAAAATACCAATTGATATGAAGAATCATTAAAGATACAAAAATGCAAAAGAAAAATAAATAATTTTATTTTTCTTGTGACTTCTTTGTTCTTTATACTAGATTGACTTGAATGTAACACAATGTTTTTTTTCTTTCCTTAAAATACTAGTCAGAAAAAATTATTTCTGTTTTATATGTAGTCTAACTAAACAATGTCTTATAAAAGTAATTTGACGCAAACAACCTTTTGCAAAGAGAAGCAAATTAAGTGACTGCAGCTTCCCAAAAATTTATACTTTTTCCCACTTTACATTTAATTCTATAGGTACTTTTATGGGCATTTCAAAAAAATAACTGAGTATATAAATAGATTATAAATAAAATAATACATAGTATAGTGTAATGCCCACAAAAGTAATTATTTATGCTTCCATAAAATAAAATTAAAAAAACTTAAAAGAATTTGTAAATATTTTTCTTGGATTGTTATTAACAATACTATTTAATCATGATTTAATCTTTTTATCATAGATTCAATTGCATCCCCCCCTTTTTTTCTTTTTCTTTTTCTTTTTTTTTTAAATTTTGGCTTGATTTTTCTGCACTACCATTTTTTCAATTTTTTCCACTCCTACATTATTAATTTAAATTGCTGTTGAAGAGAAAAAGGTGTTCTATTTTAAAATTTTGTATTTAATTTCTTGTCAAGTATGTTCAGTAGGGCTTAAATGTAGATACTAAGTTTTTGTTCATCTTATTACAATTAAACAGCAAGTAGATTTGTAATTTATAACAGTGTACTTACAGTGTTTTGCAGAATTTAAAATTATTCTGCAAGCTCAGTTTTTGTGTTAATGACTTTAAAATACCAGAATGTATGTATTAGCCATCCCAAAACCATCATCATCAATAAACTTAAGATTACAGTTTTAACAGGTGACATACAGTCATATATCATTTTCTACATTGTTCTGTAATTAGAACTAAATTATGTTTGTAAAACTCTTCTTTGGATTTTCTCTGTAATTTAAATTGGCCATTTTATGTTAGTTTTTGTCAGCACATATTATTCAAGTGGTTGGAATTTCTAATTTTTACAGACTTTAGATAAAGAAAGCTGCAGTTTTCTGCCACCTCTTTTAGGTGCGTTGGCTCCACAGGTGGTCGAATGTTTGAGATTGCTGAATACTGGTAGTTAGACCTCGTTTGGGTTTGACCTCAGGCAACTGAACTGGCTGCATGATTGGTTTTCATGATTTTCTCTGTGTCTAATGTGAATATGAGCCAGTTTTCCTCAGTGAGTCCTTCATGAGGGCATCCTGTCTCTTATGTAGATAGCTCCTGTGGCAACTAAATAATTTATCCAACATGGATTACTGTTTTAACAATTTCTGGAGTAAAATAGTTCCATATGATTTATAATGTTTTGCTACAAGTCTGAGATACTTAGCACTAAATTATTTTTAATATTTATGACATTATTGTGTTGTATTCCTCAGATCACATTTGATGATTTCTGAAGTCTATTTTTTTTTTGTAAATTAGTTAATTCT